ATGAAAATGAACATTTTCATTTGCATCTGAATCTTTACTAGCAGAGTTGATTATTGAAAACATTCATTACCAATATACTAAAATGCTACCTATTTTATCATCTCTCAGTCTGTGGGAATAAATTGTAGTCAAATAGAGCCTGACAAACTGGTACCTGTCTAACCTTGAGTTCAGGGTGGTTTTTAAAGACATTAAAAAACATTGGTGCTTTAGATGGAGCCAAGGGTCATTGTTCTAGAATATTTTATATTCTCTCTTTGGGTAATTGATGACTAGCATTTTTATGAGGAGGCTTTTATTTTCCAATAGGTAATACATGAGTGACATCATTTAATACATAATATAATAACAAAAGGCTCTAAATGTGATAACATACACTTTTAATTGCTGCTTTAAAATTTTACCATTTTCATATTAAAATATATTCATTATGACACTTTTAGGACATAGAAACAAAAAGATAATAAAATTATCATTCAGGGTTAACATCAATTTTGACAGACAGATTGATAGATACATTTTCCTAGTAAAACTATATAATATAGAACATTTCCATTGCCTTTTGATCTATAGGCGCTCATTTTATTTTAGCCATGTTATTTATTTCCTGTTATATCTGTTGCAGGGTATTTTTACATTTTGGTTTTGGTATCATTAAGATTTATACAACATGTTTATATATGCAAGATGTTTTGACTTTTTTATTTTCTGACATAGCATTTGTGCTTAAGAAGGCTCTTCACTAGACTCATATATTTATCTTTATTTTCATGTACTACTTCAAGATTTTATTTTTAGATACCTCCCTAATTTTCTAGTACATCAGACTTTTCTCATATAAACCAAACTATGCATCCTGAGACTCATATGTATAGGTTCAAAACTATTCCAAATAGTAAAATACAGAGAATGAGAGAGTGGATTTCATTCTAACATACCAAATAGGGATTCTAATTGCCAAAAATATAGTTAACTAGTTTAATGTGAACGTATAAGTTAAGAAATTACTTAGTGATTCAAATTAGTTCTTATTAGAGTAAGGCAATGTGGGTTAAGATGCCTACAATTATATAATGTTATATAACATTATTTGCTGGATTGAAAAAAAAATCATAGGACTATAAGATGTCCAGAAGCTAGGAGCTCTAGTCCTGATCCTAGTGATAATTACTTTGGACAATTCATGTGCCTCTCAGCTTCAGATGGCTCATCTGTCTAGGAAAATCACTCAACTCCCAGGGTGCCATCTATAAAGTGCAGTAAGATACACAATACCACAGTTTTAAAGATCCCCTAAATGCAAGTGTCAGTTCCTTTATCTTAGGATGGAAGGTTCTGTAGTACTAGAGCATCAGATAAGGGAATCAATAACTAGGCACACACCAAATTCTTAGCCAAGAGTTCTCTCCTCCAAAAAATTGGACATGATTTACAGAGCATGTGAGTTTCCTTTAACAGCAAATGTGTTCTTTATATGCTGGAATGTTTTCACTTATTTGAAATGATTATTCATTGTTCATTGTTTGTCTTAAAGCAGTGGTAAGGACACTGGTTTGTTAAAAGCACCCATGAAAAAGGAAATATTGTCTTTCAGTAACATGGAGCTTGAAAAAGTAAGCAGTCTAACCAGGGTGATATTTAAATTACATAACACAATAGGATATAGGCATCAATCGATCAGAATGGACTCGGACCATTTTTGTGTATACACTGGAAACTAGAGAATTTAGAGTGTGTACCAAAAGCCCAGCTAGGAACTTGAGTTACAGAAGAAAACAAGGAACAATGTCTGTGCCTCCTCAATGGGGAAAGAAATAAAGAAACAAAAGATCCTTTCAGAGAATAACTTTATAAAATTAAGCAGTTAAGTAGATAAAGTGATCAACTATGTGGCTATTTTAAGTGGAATGCTCAAGGGAAATTCTCTAGATATTTGAAGAAAAATTAGGAGGAGCTAATCCTTGGAACATTTGAGGAAAGGAATAGCATGGGGTTAACCCTAAGGTGAGCAAAAGCAGAGCACAATATTTGAGGGAAGGCGGCCAGTCCAGCCATATGGAATTGGTGGAAATGCAGAATGTCAAATCAAAGCCTGATACCAGAAGATGAAGCTGCAGAAGCAGGTAGTAGTCAGCCCTTACAAGGAGAGACGCAGAACAATGGAAAGGTATTGGAGACTTTTAAGGAGAAGACAGAAATGATTTCATTTAAGGTTACAAAAGATGATTCTAGCTGCCGTGAGGAATGTGGACTTTAGGGTAAAAGCTAATAGGGAACTGGAGAAAATGCTGCTATTTTTGGACTTGGAAAGCTACAGTAGAAAGAGTGAGAGGTGATCACACTGAAGATATATTTAGAATTAAATTGTTATATTTCCTTCCTATGTTGAGTTTCTTTTAGAGCTAAAACCTTGGTGTCATAAGGAATCTTATTTCTATAAGATCCTTTAAAATATGTCATTTATAAAGAATGGCGAGATGTGAAGTAACATAAAAGAAAGACAGCTTCTTTTAAAAGTCTAATATTCATGCTACTAAGAGAAGATAAAGTTATATTTTTACTTGGGATTTAATGACACCCTTCATCATTTGTTTCTATCAAAGTTTCTGGCTAGTATTGTGGTAGTCAATCAGTGAAGAAACTAGAATTGCTTTGTGTGACATTTGTCTGGGTACTTACACCTGAGTTTTTAATACTCAAAATACATATTTTTGCCACATGTCATGGCTTATAGTGAGTATTGCAGTAACAATGTCCTTTAGAGGACATTGTTCTCACAGCGTTTTCATTAAGACTTGTCTCCATGCCTTGTCTATGGTTGGGTTGACTCCCACCTTGAACATGGTTCCATCTTTACTTCCCTAGGCAAACATTCTCCAAGCCAGCTACAGTGATATGAGGACCACAGTTCCAATCTTGCTCATGAGGTCCATTCTCACATAGGAGAATGTTTAACAGGATTCACAGTCATCTCTGGGAACTTGTTTTTTCTCACATTTTCTAAACAACTTTCTTTTCCTCCACTTTTCCCATGATTAAACATGTGCTTCCAAGTCTTTACTCAAAAACAAAATTTTTAAAGCATCTTTACAATAAAATAAAATAAAAAGATTTTTTTAACAAATCACAAAGATTTCCCAACCCCACCCCTTCCCCAGGTACAGTTGTATACCAACTTCCATTATACTGATAAGGCTGGTATCTGGGCATCTGCATGGGTTTATTGAGTCTGCTTTTTAATAATTGGTTTACGTTTTGAATTCCTTGAAGAAGAAGTAGCTTCTGATTTCCTTGTGATTCAACCTCAGCTTAGAAAGTAGACTCTGAAATTGAAAGTAATTAACAAATAGTATATGAACAAGTGAAATGAAAATTGTATGACCTAGGAGTTTCTTGTGCCATTATGGTACCTGGTACAGTGATTTGTGTGTATACTGTATGAAACACAATGGCTCAAATGTTTGATGTTTGACCCTCCATGTGGCAGCATTAATAGAACCTTCAAACGACGGGGCCTAGTGTACGGTCATTAGGACACTAGGGTAATGTAGTTCTTCTAGGATCCCAACCCTGTGGCTTCTGGTGTCATGATAATGAGATCTCTCCCTCTCACTCACCGTCAGGTGTTTTATCACCGTGATGGGAAATGCACTAATACACCTGCCCTGTATCCTCCCACTGATGCTTAGACAAGGAAAAGCACTGGCTCCTTTGCCTCCACCCCAGTCTCACCTGCTTATCCTCCTTTTGAAGATACACAAATGCCAGCCTGTATTGTTCACTCACACCCTCCAGTGTGGGACTCATAGCCCTTTTCATACACTCCTTCTTGCAGAGTACAAAGACGGTATTTCCCTGAGGTTGAGTGAGAATCATGGTGGATAGCTGGTTTTGAATACAGGTTCATTCCATGAACCCCACTCTGTTCTCTCTTGGCAAACAGCTCAAATTTTCTTCAAATCAGGCATTTATATATAAACCGGTCTCATCATGAGCAATTAACGAATGCTCTTCTAGCTCCTCAAAATGGTAATGAAATTTAGAGCTGATACGTAGCTCATATTTCATGAGTATACTTGGGTAAATAAGCTGTCAGATTTGAGTGCTCATTATTTCTCTGTATCATCACAAAATAGCTACAACTCACTGGCCAGGCTGTGAGAAATTGACCAAGGTAATTTATGTTAGCAAGGACAAGAAGCCATCTGTGACCTGTTTTTTAAAAAAGGTAGAATCAGCTCTCCTCCTCATTAAGTTTTTTAACTGGAGCGATTATCATGAAAGTCACATACATAATGGAGACAGGTTTGCCTTTAGGAAGAAATTTCTTTCTGTGAGGTCTACGGCTATCTCAAATCCTTTCAGCTCTCAGCTAGTCTGAGATGACTTTGCCAGCTCTATTCTTCACTGGATGCATCAAATGGCTAGACTTTTTCACCACCACAGGCACTTTCTTCCTCCTGCCAGTCTTCCTGACATCGTTTGATAGAATCAGGAACAGCCTTCGGAAGTTAGTTTTATCTTTGAAAAGATTACCCATATTGTGGAGTAACAGAAGGCAGCATTGAACATGATATAAAATCTACTTGAAACCAAAAGAACATCAATAATGATAATTGTTATTATTACTCTGTACGAAGTTCTGTATTAAGTGCCAGTTATAATGACATAATTAGTGCATTCGGTTCTTGAAACAGCCCTGTAATTTAAACATCCCAGCATGTGACAGATGAGGCAGGCAATGACTTTGAACAGATAAGGAGGTCGCCCGAGGTCACACATCAGTAGATGGCCAAGTTAAATTTTAAACAGCTCTCTTAGCCTGCAGTGGTCCAGGTCTGGAATGAAGTGAGCATGGTTGTTAGAGAGAGATGCTTAAGACAACTGGTAACCTGTTCAGAAAGAATGTTAGCCCAATTTCTGCTATCACTTATTTGAAAGAATCTGCATGATGAGTTGAACAGATGATTGACTAACTTCCATGTTTCTTTTCCTTCTAGAAAGATTTCCAACCAGTAGCAGCCTCAGAGAACAACTGGGAATCAGTCACAAGCCCTATCTCAGTAAGTAATTTATGATCCCATTACCAGTGAATCAAACTGACAGGATAGCCAAGATCAGCCTCTGAAGGACCAGAGCTCAAACATGATGAATCTGTCCATTTCTTTCAGGTTATGGGGGATTATATGACACAGCCTGTGTTTCAGAATAATTTTAAGGAATTACCAGTATCCCATTGTAGGAACTTGGGCTAGACAGAGGTTTATGTATTTGTCAGTTACACAGCAGAGCATTCCCACAAAAGGACTTTGCAACATAGGGAACTGATTCCTTGGTTCTAGTTCAAGTGAGCAAATTGAAAATCACTTCCTGAATATCCCACAAAAAGCTGTTCACTTGTGCATTTTCAAAGGACTTCCACAACTTGAAAAACCTCAGAGTTTAGAGGAAGATAGCATGAGTGAGAGAGACAGATCACAGAGCTGGCCTATCAAGAACAAAAAGAACAAATATGGCTGCAGCTATGTCATTATCACCAAGGACTGTAGAGGATGACGCATTTATCATGGCTTGTACTATAATTAAATTCCTAAACTCTTCAGAAATACCTGACATAGAACACATGGCCAGATAAATAATTATCTGGTTACAACTGTGCAGAATATAACATAGATTCATGTTGGTAATGTAGATGGCATCAAAGAAAAGTTAAGTCAGGATGAGGTGTTTACTTATTCTGACAAGGTTGGCTGAAAATTAGATGTATGATTTCTAGGGGAAGGGAGGAGAGGGAAGGGAAAGGCACCTGGATAGACGCATTAATCATTCTACCATGCCTCCCATCCTGTTCCCCAACTTCCATCTTTTCTTACTTCCCTCCCCTACAAAACCTATATGAAAACTATCCCTTATGTTATACCAGTGGTAGATTAAATTAATGCTTTTGGGCTTTGGGGCTGAAAAGGGAACATCCCTGTAAGAACAAATGATCATGGAATCGCTTACTTATCTCTGGACTTTGGTTGGTTAAATTGAGAAAGCACAGTCCAGGAGTGACATTCTCACTCGTGAGCTTTGCAATCTGAGGCTCTATAAATGTATATTATTTCTCAATAGGATTCTGCAGTTAGGTTTTGGAAAAGTAAGTTTTCATTAATTTCCATTCTTTTCTTAGTGATAGGAGATATTTGCCCTTGGGGGGGGATCTTATTTGTTTGGCAGTTCCTTTAATGACATTTAGAAATCATTTGAGACTATGTGCTCTCTATTTCTTTCTTAATGGGTCATGAATTTTTACAGAGATGTTTGAATCATGGCTCATTTACTTCTAGATTGTGCAAGGGTTAGTGAGGTAAGTGCTTGGAAACCTTACTGGGGTTTATTTCCATGGCAAAATATATAATCCTTTCCACTATTTCAATGGTGCCATGCTCCCCACTGAAAGAATATTCTAAGACTGTTTTAATGGCAACTGGGATCACTAGCAACAGGCAAGCTTTTTTCTTTTAATATGCTTCCCATGTGAATCATGCACTCTTAAGTCAAGAGAGCCAGCTTCATGGCTAATTATCCTTGTTGACAGTAAATAAGTTGGTTAAAGTGCCAAATTTTATCAAAATGTCTCCAGAGTAGAGTTAAACGCTGTTCAAACAACATCTGCAATGTGAGGTGACCTATAAATGGGAACACAGAGGCTATGTGAGAGAATGGATTGAATTCTCAAAACATGCTTGGAAGAAGTTCAGAATTTTAATTCTCACCATTATTAGTTGATATATGAATGATCTGGGACCTTAAGCCAGGAAATGAGAGGAGTTCATTTTCATATTTCCACTCAGCTTATATCTTTTTTAATGATTTCAGTTCAGATGGACTGAAAGTTTGATGGTCTGCATGGCTTTGACTTCCAAAATAGGTTGTCTAATCTTTTATTAATTAATTACTCCTATTTAGGAATATGGCCAGACAATGTCAGATTGCTTTTGCATGGTACTTACCCGGGTGATGTCTTGTAATCAGAAGTCTGCGTATAGTTGTTTGACTTGCTTTTTCTGAGTACACTGAGCTGTATGTCACTCTTAGGGGGTATCCTATAACTCCCCATCAGTAACGGACCCCAATCTCACTGCGGATGCTCTGGACAAAACAGTCGCACAGTTTGATACTGTGGAAGATGTGCTCAAGTACTTCAACCCAGAGTCGTGGCAAGAAGATCTTGAGAACTTATATGTGGACCTTCCTCAATATCGAGGCAGGCTCTACTACGGCCGGAAGTCAAAAGGTAAGAAACGGAGGCTCGGTGGTTCTGTGTAAGTAGTGTCAACAGTAATAATAAAGATTGGCAGTATGATATGTTTGATTCACTCAAATCAGATCATTACTGTCAATCTGTTACCACAATATGTTCCACAGCACTTTCAAATTCATCTCTATATGGAACCCAGGCTTTGTCATTTGCATATGACAAAGGAAGATTTGGTCCAATCTGTCACAGTATGTGTGGAGAGGTCATGAAAGCACCTGGACCAGCTCTTTACCTTCTTGGCAAACAAAGCATTATTAGCCCCGATAACAGAGGGAACCAAAGTCAGAGGATAACTAACTTGTTCAAAGCTGCCTGGCTAGTTAGCAGTGGGAGAAATGAGCGTCTAGGTTCTTGGCCTACAGCCCTTGTGCTTGTGCAGTGTTGACTGTACCTGTCTAATAGACATGACAGTCGGCTGAGTCCATGACTGTCAGTATTGACCTTGGTTAGAAGTTACAAGACTCTGGCAAGGGTTCAGATTTTCCCATTTGTTGTTCATTTTACATTATCTTTTAATCCAAATCTTTTATGCACTTGGTTTCTGGGTGGTTCCTGGGCTTGGGAGGCACACGTCCCAGTGGAGAGGAAAGTTAAGGCATGGCACAGTTTGGAGCGTACAAGAGTGTGTGTGTAACTGAAAGTTTGGGAGAAAATAAAATGAGAGGAAAATACCAGCCAGAAAACATCGTGATGGGAAACAGTAAGACTGAAACTCTTAAGGACTCAAATTTTTTTTTTTTCTTGCTATTGTTTGTAACATATTTATAAGATGATTTCTTTATTGCTTTGTATGTCTCTCCCCCACGGTATAACCCTGCTTTCACTGTATTTGATGTTGGTATAATTTGTGGAGGGGAAGGGAAAAAACATTTGTTTAAATAGGGATACAGGTGGACCCATTGCAATAATGAGAAGTACAAGACGTTATGTTGAAAAACGAACTTTACAACTTTGGCGCGTGGTGGGGGGGTGGGGAGAAGAAGGGGCAGGGGAGGGAGGGGGAGATGGGAAGGGGAAACAAAGACAGAGGCAACCATGCTTGATAAGAACCATACTCATTACCTTGGTCAAGTAATTGTAACCCCTCTGTATGGTATTGTCACAATAAAAATAAATAAATAGCCGGGGAATGCATCAGGATGATACATTCTTAGGCTGAGAGTATCTGTTTGAATGCAGACCTCAAATCACTGGCTAAGCTTCGTTACTAACCTTTTCTCCAGCAAGCCTCCAAGGCTGGCTCTCCTCCGCAGGTGGGAAGGCAGTTAGCTAAGTTATGCCCATTTCCCACATTTCATAATATCAAGAGTGCTTTACAAATAACTGAATGCAGGCTGCTTTAGCACAACCAGTGGAAATGTTTGAGTTCAAATGACTAATTAATAGACTTCTCCCTGGGCCGTCCGCTTGTGGCGTAGGTCATAAATTTTGTACACTTAGTATGTACAGCTGAGGGAGGACAAAGGGGTCACAGAGGCCCTGACATTACTGAGACCAGCCATCTCCAGGTCACCAGCGCTCAAAATCAACCTCCTCAGGGCTCAAGTTGGATTTGGTTCAAAGAAGAAATTGCTTTCCTGTAAGGCATTGCTGAATTTAGGTCTCTACCAGGTCAACTTGAAAGGAAGTCAAATATTCACATTTTGTCAACTCCAGGAAAAAACTAAAATTGATACTAGACAAATAAGCAACAAATTCTAAACCCTCAAGTTAGCATTAGTCATGACAGTGGCTTTCCTTGGCATCTCTTTTCTGGAAATATTAAAACTTAAAAATTACTGAAGTCAATTTTCCCCATGTTGTGGTAGAAACAGGAAGCCCATATTCAAAACTTAACCTTCAAGTTTTGTGTTTTGAAAGTCAGTTGATCCTAAGTCTTTGTCTCCTCATTGTGTGTGTGTGTGTGTGTGTGTGTGTGTGTGTGTGTGTGTGTGTGTATGTGTGTAGCAGTACTCACTCTGGGGGTTGTTCATGGAACTCCCAAGAGCACCTGCCATATGATCTGTGTAAGAATCTTTAGCAATCTGTGACCGTCTGCAGTTCTGAAATAGCCCAGCACGGATGCTGTGCTGGAACCTCCTCATGCCTTGTCCTGTCTCTGTGGTACACCCATACCTCAGGCAGAGTTCGGAGCACCCTAGGCCCAGCTGTACTGTTATTCTACCCCTGTGCTTTCTCTTAGGGAATATGTGCTCCAGGATGTTCTAAGTTGGGTCTTAATTCCAACTAAATATTTAATGACATGAGAACATTGGAAATCTACAGACACCTAGATACTTTGATTCGGGATCTTTGGGAAGTAGGGCTGAGACATTAATGGTATTTACATTTTTACTTTTTGAAGTAGCCTCTGGCTTAGATTGTTCATTCTGTATCTCTAGCATTAGACACTGTTTCAAATATATTTTGAATGTTCAGCTAATATTTATAGCATGAAAGGTATTATTCCTGCAACTGTAAAGTTTCAGTCAGTCTGTCTGCCTGTCTTACAGTGCGCAGGATCAAACCCAGGGTCTTGCATATGCCACTGAGCTAACCACCCTCTAAGCTTGGTATATCTCTAAAGTTTACAGAAGCCCACTGAGTGACCAAGGAAAATGGCTATATTAAGAATGTCTTTGGCAGGGCACTGAAGGTTCATACCTATAATCCTAGCTACTCAGGAGGCTGAGGTCTCAGAATCTCAGTTTGAAGCCAGCGCAAGCAGGAAAGTCCATGAGACTCTTATCTCCAAATAATCACCAGAAAACCAGAAGTGGAGCTGTGGCTCGATGTGGTAGGATGCTAGACTTGAGCTGGAAAGCTCGAGAAAAGCGTTCCTGAATTCAAGCTTCACAACCAACAAAAGAGAGAGGAAAAAGAATAGCATTGGTTTCTGAAATAACCTTTGAAGAGCATTCCAGGTGACATTCTACTTGATGTTTGTAACAAAGTAAACATCATCTCTCCCCTCTGTTGGCTTAGGTTCTATTTCTTAATCTCAGAAACAGATTTGTACCATTTCTACTCACTGCCAAGTCCCTATAGTCCTGTACTTGTATAAATGCACTGGTTTAATTGTTTGTCTCTCTACTCCGGGTAAGCCACCCGGATGTTTCACAAAGGCAAGATAAAGCAGGTTTGATATTTCAGCCGCTGTTTTCTCTTTTGGAACTTGAAAACATGGACATATGGCTTGTAGCCCGATGTTTGAAGAAGGTAACAGCGACTAAAGACTGAAAAGAGAAAATCAGGGCTAATGGAAACTGTTAGGCATCAGATAAGCATAAACTTTAAAAGATCTCTAAATAAATTATCTCTAACACATCATCTGCATGCTGATAGATGAATGAGTCTGTATAGAAAAATTATTTTCATTTGTTAATCTATTGAACATACTTTCCTCTGGTTTGTCCAGACAGATCAAAAGGGGGTATTTTTCCAAGGATCAAGAATCAAAAGAATATGGTTAAATATGAATAGATAAGGCACATGATTTTATGAACCCTAAAGCACAGATAAACTGGCTGAAGAGCTTACATCGCAAGCCAGAAATCGTTGAAATGCTTCTGCTTTTTCCTTGGTGCAAGGGAGAATAGGAGGTGTGAGTTTTTAGTTCTCCTCAAGAGGAGAGTTAAAAATGAGAAGCAAGGGAACAGTAGAAGTTGAGAAGATGAGAGAAAGACAGATTATTCAAGGACTAGAGATGGTCTTTTTTAAAATTCAGAAGTAGCAGAGAAGCTCAAATTTGTCTGTAAAAGCTTCTGAGTTAAAGATAATATGACAAATAAGTATATCCAGCTATCAGTTTCCTGGAGAGTAGGGGAGAAGGGGAGTGTATACAATTGAAGTCTGTAGATAACAATAGTTCCTAAACTCAGTTTCTATATTCATTTGAGCTTCATGCTTTCAACATCAAAGGTTCATAATAAAAGGAAAAAAATCCTTTAAGTTCAATTTTTATTTATTTTTCTAAGGAGTATAATATTGAATATGACAAATTTGTACAAAATTATGTAAAAGTATATGGATGTTCTTGCTAGAAGTTGCGTAATTACCACCCAACTCATGGTATGACCACTGTAATTTAACTAAGTTTAAACTATAACTCTTTGAAAGTATATAGTATGAACTTGAGGAAGAACATATAGTTCATCCAGTTCATAACACGTAACTCAACATTTATAATGAAGTAATCACCCCTGAGTCAACCATACTGAACATTAGCTGAGAGATTTATGGAGAATAACAATGTAACGGAAATTTAGTACTTTGCTTCTTCCAAGAGAACTTGACTATAGATGATAACACATTTGCCATAGAAAAATCCAACACTAATGGGGAGAAAGGCTGATTTCACAGTTTAAGTTTTGTGATTAAATATGAGCAAAATCACTGGATGCCTGTGGCTCATGCCTGTCATCTTTGCTACTCAGGAGGCTGAGGTCTGAGGATCACAGTTTGAAGCCGGTGGGGGCAGAAAAAGTCTGTGAGACTCTTATCTCCAGTAAACTACCCAGAAAAAGCCAGAAGATGTTCTGTGCCTCAAATGGTAGAGTACTAGCTTTGAGCACAAAGAGATTCTGGGACATTGCCCAGGCCCTGAGTTCAAGCCCTAGGACTGGCAGGAAAAATAAAAGAGCAAAATTACTGAGTCACACTAATCACTTTAAACTGCTAATAAAAATATGTATGTGATCCTTGCTTGTTCGGAGGCTGAGACTGAGCGGCTTGCAGTTTTGAGATGAGCCTAGGGGCTGAAAGTTTGTGAGGTCTTATTTCAATCAATAAAAAGCTGGAGTGTGTGAGTGCATGCCTGTCATTCCAGACATGCAGAAAGGGTAAACAGGAGGACTGCAGTCCAGTCCAGGCCAGCCAGGGCATAAATGTGAGGCTGTACTTTAAAATAATAACTAAAAGGGGCTGGGAAGGTGACTCCGTGGTAGAGTGCTTGCCTTGCATGCATGAGGCCCTGGGTTCGATTCCCCAGAACCACA